CACCACAACACACCAACAGTGATTCTCTGCATGTACAAACCCAACACCCACAGGAGGTACCGGGCCATCTGATTGCTTCATTGGAGTGGTTATTGCATTGTTAGCACATGCAGAAGAATTTTAATTTCTATCACTAGTGCCTTTTATAGTTAATCTTGATACATTGTTGAAATAAATATATATGCTAAATCTAGACTATGATCTGCAAACTATTTACCTAACATGCCAGGAGTAGGAATTAACAATAGTAGAAATTACTAGATCTTTTGGCACATGTCATGAAATTTCTAATTCCTTGGACCATGAAGGACTTATTGCTCAGACACTGAGCTGCTTCATCAAAAGCTTCCAAGTAAATTTCAAGGGACATTGTTAATATGCAGTAACTATAATTACATTTTTTCCCTGAGTTACATGTTTTTCCAGTGAGAAAATGCAAAATCTAAACTACAGCATTCTTCTGTCCATCTAAGAACTAAGGATTTTTTTCCAAAAGGAGTTTGAAGTAGTGAGTCCAGATTATAAAAAAGCAAGAAGTCACCATAAAACTTACATACAACTGCAAATGACCAAAAAATGGTTTTAGGAATTTTAATGATTAAATTTGAAAATGACTAAAATGCAAACTTGGTGATACTGATGAAGACACATAAGTCTACAGAAAAAAGTTACCTACCACTAGTTTGTAAAAAAATATATAATTCAGTGTTTTTGCTGAAAAAAGGCTACCTTGAAGATGAATCATACAATAAATGGAATCTTTGATGAAAAGGACAGTCACTCACAAGCTAGCTATTTCTTTATATTTCTACATTCAAAAACTCCTGGGATCTGGAACTCTATATTAATTATCTTTCTCTCCCCTCCAGTATCTTTGCATATGAAAAATACACATTATTGAATTGGTCTAGTTTTCTGCCAACAGTTTCATTTCTTTCAAGCTTGGCCTCATTTCTCAGTTAAAATCTAGCTGTATGCTTATTTTTAGGTTTAGATGGGCATATTTCATTGTAATTTCCCTTTTTAAAAATTCAAAACCCATTCATGCTTTCATTCATTCAGTTGAGTTTTTATCAGGTTCCTAAAAACTACCACGCTGTGACAAGAATATAAAGGTGAGTAAGACACAGCCTTGCTCTGAACTTTACTTACAGTCCAGAGGGAGAGTCAGGCCTGACAACATATCACAACTCAATGTGATGAGAACTATGACAAAGATGTACAGACTGCTGCGAAAACATGGAGAATCAGATTCACACTAAACAAAAAGTATTCTAGCATTCTTCATTATCCTTATACTTTTAAATTCTATTAAAATCTGAAAGCAGATTTTAATTGTATTACTTTAAAAAAAAGATTTATTTACTTATGCATATAGAACTGGGGTACAGGCCAGAAGTGTAGGGGCAGTGAAAGGCTTCACCAGAGACAGAGTGGGGAGCAGAACAGGCAGATCGACGAAGTACACTGCTGCGGAGAGCAGCGGGCAGGTCAGGAGAGGTCTGCTATGCCATGTGGATAACCTCCAGGATGGGGATTGAACTCATGATGAAGTGGCTTTAGCTTCTTTGTGCTGTGCTTTAACCAGCTGCACCACCAGGGAGGGCCTAATTGTACTACTTTTTACGGCTTGCCATTATGAACTTGGTAAGTAAAGCTTAATGTCAGAAAACTTTAGTGACTCAAGGTTGAGTGTTCTACAGCATAACAAAACCAAAATAAGCCTTAGAAATGTTACTGCAGAATTGAGGTTACCAGAATGGGGGTACTGGAGACAAAGGGAATGGGGACCCAATGGGATGTGGTAGAAGATTATGGGTGATTTGGTGGTGGATGAGGTGTAGTAAAACATCTGAAAAGATGTGAGTCTATAACTCTACATAATTTGGAAAGCATAACCCTACATAATGGAAAGCAACATGACAGCAATTAGAAATAATACATCCTTTTTAACAGTTGGGGGTTTTGTTTTTGTTGATTCTACCTTCCCTAGAAGATGAAATGCACATAAGAGAAATATGGAGTTTCTGAGCTAGTTATTTAGGATAGTTGAAGTACTATGTGGGATATGAGAGGATGATCTCTGAATGGCAATCTTTTCTAAAGAATTTACTTGAATGAAGAGAAAGGGAGTCAGAGCAAGCAGTAAGTTCTGCAAGGGAGCTTCTCTGGAATCTACCACTGGAAAATGTTGACTTGGAAAAGCATTACATTTCTCTAAATATCTGTTACTCTTTCATCTAAAAGTGAAACTCAACATGGATAATATTGCTTCCATTTCAACAATCACTGAATTATGCCTAAACAGAAAAGCAATTCTTTCAATAGAGGAAAACTTAGAACTTAAGAGTCAAAAGACCCAAATGTAACTGTTACCAATTCACCATTTAACCTTAAACAAGTCTCCTAGCATCTCTAAAAGTGTTTTCTTAGCTGATAATTTGGAAGGATACAGGCAGCAACATGAAGAAAAATGCAAATGTTATTATATGTTGTTCACAAGAAAAAACAAAGTTCTGGTGTAAGAATTACTAGGATTCTTCTTATATAAATGGAGAACAAGATTAATTCTTTTCTAGGTTTTTCAGCTAGTTTGATTCCAAGTCTCTAGTCACATGATGCTTATTCTACCTACTAGAATTAAAGTGTCCAGTTTTCTATTACAAATAGTTATGAAAGTATAAGGTATTGCTGACTAAGTTTTACATTCTCTAGAAGAACATCAACACACTTTTTCCATATCTGTTAGAGCAAAATCATATTGAGCTATAGATCCTACTTGACATGTCACAGTAGAGTCAGTTGAAAAATGGCCAGATTGCTGCTACGTTAGAAATGACCCAAGAGTTAATTAATATCTTAAATAAATGGCACATGTAAATCATGTTCTTCGAGGATATTAAAAGAAAGAACTATAACAATTAGACAAGACAAATACAGTTGAACTACATAAAAGACCCACTAAGAGAAAAGGTTGGATCCCTCATCCAAACCACACAAACAGCAGTCTTCCAAAGAAACTGCATTTTCAATTGAAAATATGCATCAAAAAAGTCATAAGGTTCACAGCACTGATACAACAAAGCCATGACATTCTCCTAACCAGAAAGAGGAGTGGGGGTAGAGACACCTTACACCCCCTATATATAGCATGAGCTAGACCAAATGAACAACCAACTCCTGATAACAATACTTTAGAGATAGCAGTATTTGTTATAAAAATTCTTTCTCATTACAACAGTTTATCAAAGCAATTCATTCTTCTTTTTAAAATCTATTGAAACTAATTTGATGAAAAAGACTTTCTTCAAAAATGAGGACCTGTATGGTAGGCTCCTCTGTGTTCATCATTGCCTCCATTAAATAATAACCCCTACAGGTCAGAAGTGTCTCCTTTACTACCCTCTTTTCCAGAGATCTTAGCATTGGTATATAAACCCACTTGGGTTATAGATGTTGGATTTATTCTAGAATGCAACATACTTTTTAAAAAAAAATTCAATTCTTAAATGAAAGTCCCTATGAAAAGATAAAAAGTCACGTTTCCCTGAAGTGGGGCTCCTTCACACTTATTTAGAAGCTGTTCTTTTCTCCTCTATGTTAAAAGAAAAGGATTGTGATATCATTGTTTACAGTATGTGAATCTGTTTTTAAGATTTAATGGACATTACATCCAGTCAAAGTATGGTTTGTACTTTGATATACCAAGATTTAGAAAAAACATAAATAAACAGGTACAACATCAATATCAAAGTCTTAGAAAACCTCCCTTGGGATAGTCTTAGTGTCAGTTTAATATGGAATTGAGAGGACATCTCACCAATACCTTATTGAACTTCAACATCAGCTTGTATAGCTAAAATTCACCTTCAGCACATGACACTTAAACATTTGTAGGCAATATTTCATTCCACTTATGGGATGAGAAAAATATAAAATAGTAGTCCAGAGAATGCCATTATAAATTAAAAGAAATAAGCATCTACTTACAAACTGTAGGAATTAAATTCAGTGTGGTTTCACTACTGTCCAAACAAGTCAACAAGTAAGTCAACATGAATCTTTCTTCTGGAATCCTCAGTTGTCCAGTATTAAAGTTACCAATGGAGAACAAGCCACTGGGCAATTTAATTATAAATTATCTTTATGTGAACAATACTGTGATTCTGGTTCATTGAAAAGGTGAGCAAAAAGCTATAATACTACTCCTGTTCCAACCTGGATATATTTCTTTGCCGTGGAAAATGTTAAAAGATCATTTTGAAGAAAGAAGCCCAACTTGTTAAAATGCTTTTATAAAAGACAGTTATAAGTCCAAATACAAAGTTTAGAGGCATTTCCATTTTCCTAACATATAAAGATTAATGAAAATTAATATATTTAATGCAAAAAAGATACAGAAAAACAAGATCAGAGCCAACAACTGATTAAATAAATCATAAAAGCTAAAGAGAGCACTAGATTTCAGGTAAAATTGTTCAAGAAACCTAAACAATATTAACCCTAGCAGAGAGCAGAGTTGCGAAGAGATGGAACATTATAGAATTGCAAATAGCATTAAGCAGTATGAAAATAACAATTGGGATAAATACCGTTGACAGGCTGCAAAAACAATCAACGCACTTGCTCCTTCACCTCTCCCCCTCATCCAGCTGGGTAGTGAAAGCAGCTGCCTGTTCCCCCACCCCTCCTTCCCAGTCACTCCCCAAGCCTTCCCCAAGCCTCTCTCATCCACTCTTCACTCCCCTTTTTGTTCCCCTCCCCTCCCCGCCCACAGATGGTGTACTCAGCAGCCTGGCGAGATTAAGAGGTGCTTGCTATGGTCACAGGGCCTCCGGACAGATCTAACGTTTCCTAGCTCCCTAGAATAGAGAAATTAGAGACAAGACTCCCTGGTGGTATTAGATGCCTTCGCCTCCACCCCGCCCTCTCCCAGGTCTGGGAGAGAGTGGAAGTCTCGGGCTAGTGGACTGGGCCTCGCTCCCGGCCCTCAGCGCTACCTGAGCTGTCCATGGTGCTGGCGCGGTCCAGAGGCTGCCGGGCGGGACTCCGCGCTGCCGCCGTCGCCGCCGCCCCGGCATTGACTCTCTGCTTGCCGCCACCCCCGCCGCTCCCAGCACTTATGTCCCCGTTACTGTCCACCAGCTGCAAGGATTCATAACCATCGTTGCTGGCCTTTTTCCGGTAGCTCCCGAGGAGGCTCATGGGCAAGCCCAAAGAAAAGGGGAAAAAATCAACCTGGGAGACGAAGGGAGAGATGGAAGGTGGGAAAGGCTAAAGCACGAATTTAATTTAAAAAAAAAAAAAAAAAGTGGGGGGGCGGACTATCAAGTGCCCAACATGACGCAAAGAGGAGGGAAGAGGGAGCGGCCACCGAGAGCAGCTTTTCGGGGCGTGTTGAAGCCACCGCCCTGGGCTGAGAGCGGCTCTGGGCACCAGGCGCGAAGGAGGGAGGGAGGGAGGAGGGAGGAGTGGAGGGAAGAGGGGAGGGCACCGGCAAGCGGGTACTCGCGTCCTCAGTGCCGCCGCGGAGCCACTGGCCCAGCAGAGCTTCGGCCCGGGCCAGCCACCCTCTAGTTGGGGTGTGCCCGGAAGCAATTCTATAGGTGTCACGCGTCGCCCCGCCGCGCAGCAGGGCAGCTCCAAGCGCAGCTGGCCCGCGGGGAGGAAGAAGAGAGGGAGTAAAGGAGAGATTCACTGGGAAAAGGGGCTGAAGGTGGAAAATGGGGCGGGGTAGAAGTGGGAGGGGACTACTACAACAGGGGTAGAGGGTGATTTCTCGTGCGTGAAATAAAGAAGAAAGCGGCTAGAGGTGTTTGCTTGGTAAGCTTTGGGGATGAAGGGGGTTTCTTGGTAAGATCCGGACACGCCCATTTCGTTTAACTTCACCTATATTTGCTAGAAGATTCGGCAAATCAAAGCCAGACCGACGGCTACCGTGCTTGGAGGACTGAATTGCACCTCAATTGAACAGAAAAAGAACGCACGTTAAATGCCAAGCTAATTGTTGCTAAACAACATTATTTTGCACATTTCCAGAATGGGGACGATCCCTAAGTGAGACATCAAAGAACTGGATATTCTGACGCTAGGAGGCAGTTAGGATCCATCCACCTAGAGAGTAAATGTGACCACACAGTAACTATTTTTTTAACAAATAAATTGGGGGCAGGAGGAGAGAAGAGAGGAGCTGAGTAAGGTGCAATTTCAGATCTGCTATTATTTAGTCAAAAAAAAAAAAGACTATACCACTCAGCTGACTAGAGGATGGTTGGGAAGAAAGATAGATAAGGATTTTCTTTCCATTCTTAACCCTGTTTTATTCTTTTCAGCTCTGGGTAAAAAAAGCAGTCACTAATTGATAAGAGGAAAATTTATCACAAAGTTAATGGAGCTCAAAGGTCAAGTTCATTTCATGCAGAAGATCCTTTCAAAGGTATGTAGTTAATTTTATATTTGTGATTGTGTAATGTTGTTCCTTAGGAGGACCCCAACATTTTTACAGAAAGTTTATATTCACCTGAAATTGTAAGATTGCAGAAGTGTCCCTTCTTCTTATCATTTCAGGTGAAGATCAGGTTTTAAAAAATGGTTAAAAACTGTACTTTTCACTATTTGGATTTGAAATGATTAAATGAGAAGCTTTTCAAAAGTTCTTCAAGTGAATCACATCACCAACACAACAGGAAAATGTCCAGGTATATAAAATTTGATTGAACCCATATACAAACCCAGCTTTACTTCTTTTTTTACTTTTCATAACTTTCTTTTGCTGTCATTATCTAGATCACCTAAAGACACAAAATCAAGTGTTTGCATCTAAGAGGCTTCAACCCAAATCATTTGGGATCCAAAGAGTTTTCCTGGAAGTTCTAGTTCTACCTAAGGCTACATAAAATGCATTGCATTGAAAGATGTTTTCCTATTCAAGGATCACTCAAAAGCAGATTATAGGAAGATGAAAAATCAGGACAGGCCAAGAGCATATTCCTTAAGATCATTCCAGTCTCTCTTGGAAGACCTAAATTCCCCGATTAGTTGCTTTCCTAACTGTGTTTCTGACAAAGATGTGGTCTGATCTGAATTGTAAATCACAGTTAATACTTATGACAAGATCAAACAACTTGAGTACTCAACAGGGAAAACTGTAATAAAATTTCAAGCACAAAGTTTATACTTTCAATTTTCAAAGCTACTTTAGTTATGTAACTTACTCTGTAAATTAAAATAAGTCTCTTCCAATAACATTTTAAATAATCTTTTATTTTGCACTTTTAACTCATTACTGATCCAAAGGGAGAAAAAAATACAGTGACAAATCATAGATTTATTTTCAGTGGATTAAGAATCAGGCCCTCCCTGGTGGTGCAGTGGGTTAAAGCACAGCACTAAGAAGCCGAAGCCACTTCCACATGAGTTCGATCCCCACCTGCCCCGGAGGTGACCCACATGGCATGACAGACCTCTCCTGACCTGCCTGCTGCTCCTCTCAGCAGTGTACTTCATCAGTTGGCCTTTTCTGCACCCCACTCTGTCTCTGGTGAATCCTCTCACTGCCTCTGCACATCTGGCCTGTACCCCAGTTCTGTAAGCATAAATAAATAAATCTTAAAAAAAGAAGAAGAATAAGAGTCTTTGAGGAGGCCATTTCTTTTTTTTATAAGATTCCTTTTATTTATTTATGCATACAAGAACTGTATGTAGGCCAGAGGTGTGGGGGTGTGGGGGCAATGTGAGAGGATTCACCAGAGATAGAGTGGGGAGAACAGGCAGATGGACTAAAATACACTGCTGAGGGGAGCAGCAGGCAAGGCAAGAGAGATCTGCTGTGCCACGTGGGTTAGCTCCTTGGCCAGAATCTAACTCATACTGCAGATAGCTTCATAGTGCTAAGTCTTAACACCTTGTACATCAGGGAGGCCCAAGAAGGCCATTTCTGAAAAGTAATATTAATTAATTTAAAAAGCACTCAGTGGGCTCTCCCTGGTGGTACCGTGGGTTAAAGCACAACACTGCAAAGCTATCCTCACCCACTTCAGTGCGAGTGCGATCTCTGGCCCACATGGAGTGGCAGACCTCTCCTGTCTAGCTGGCTGCACCCCTCAGCAGTGTTCTTCATTGTTCTGCCTGTTCTGCTCCCCAGTCTGTCTCTGGTGGATCTGTACCTCAATCCTGTATGCATAAATAAATAAATCTTTTTAAGAAATAAAATAAAAAGCACTCAGTAATTTTTGCTCAACTATCTGCAAGCACACTGCTGAAAGAAATTATAGATGAAACATATGCCTTTGTATTTTTGGATATCTATCTCCTCAGTTTGCAAATTCAAAGAAAAACATGAATGGGCTACAGGAACCCTTTTTTATTATTTTTATACTTAATTTAACAAAAACAAAATCGATCAGAATAACTATTAATCAATTTACAAAATAGGACCCTCCCTGGTGGCACAGCAGGTTGCTGAGAAGGTAAGCCAAACTATGGCTGCTTCAGTTGGAGTTCGATCCCCACCCTGGAGGTGATCCACATGGTGCAGCAGACCTCTCCTGTCACACCCGCTGCTCCCCTCAGTAGTATACTTTGTACATCTGCCTGTTCTACTCCCTGCTATTACTATAGTGAATCCTCTTACCGCCCCTGCACCTCTGGCTGTACCCCATTTCTGTATGCATAAATAAATCTTTTTTTAAAAGTTGCAAAATAGGGAACTATAGAGCATATTAAATCAAGACAATATATAGTTAGGTTAGTGCATAATAGTCTAAAACTGGTTTGTGGCTTAAATTGGAATATATACCAATTTCAACATTATTTTTTTCTTTACTACCCTAAAGATCAAATTCATAAATCATTAACTAATCCATAAAATCACCTGCTACTCTATAGTACAGACTATAGTAAGAGCACCAATATTATATAAAGTCAGGATTAAATCAGTACCTGACACATATAGAGTAACTATTATTACTATTATTGGTATGACTTGAATACAACTCTATAATCAATGCCTGAGGATCATAATTCTTCCCATAGGAGGAGTCAGTAAAATCATTGTTATTTTCTACTCCAGGATATTAGTAATGGAACCATAGCTATGTGATTTTGAATAAACTTGAACTTAAGGAAGGGAGATGATACTGTTAAAAATCTAAGGTGGGGCCTTCCCTGGTGGCACAGTGGTTTGGGCCACAGCACTGCAAGCTAGCCGCATCTACTTCAGTGCAAGTTCGATCCCTCGCCATGGGAGGTGATCTACATGGCGTGGCAGACCTCTCCTGACCCGCCCGCTGCTCACCTCAGTAGTGTACTTCATCAGCCTACCTGTTCTGCTCCCCAGTCTGTCTTTGATGAATCCTCTCACCCACCACATCTCTGGCTTATACCCCAGTTCTGTATGAGTAAATAAATAAATCTTTAAAAAAAAAATCCAAGATGGACATTTAGAGCCACACTCCATTTTTCCAAGATCAAGACAGCGTCATAATTTATTTTATCTCTACAATCTCACCTCACATATATGGCAGAGCCTGAGGATTAGATGTTCTCATTGGATGAGAAGATTCTTTATCTGTCTTTTCCATTGCTGACTTCAGTCACTTTTATTAAATAACTCCGTGAAGATTTTTCTTTATTCAGTGAAGGTTTCCCATACAGGAATGAATGTTTAGGAGCCAAGATCTGCTCCTCCACATTCCCTTCCCTCCACCCCCCAAAATGTTCTCCTATTGGAGATGTTAAATTACTCTTGCAGAGAAGATAGAAAATGAGTATTTGCCAGAATCTATAAGGCTATGATCTGTGCCTTTTGGTTTCAGGAATTATAATACATTCTTTAAGATTTAGGTTCTGGAAACACATTTCCCAGAACTGAATCCTAGTTCCATGGACACTGAGCTCTATGACTTGAGTCAGTCACTTAAACCTCTTTGCCTCACTTTTCTTCTCTGTAAAGTAAACTTCATAATAAGGTTGTAGTGAGAATTAAATTAGTGCCTAACTTTTATGATAAGTGCTTAACAAATTTTTATTATTATCAGTATTTTCTACTATATAGGGAAAGGTCACTTTTTCAAAAACACAATTTCCTGTCTGTAAAATTAGATTAAATTTTGCCTGCCTACTTAAAAAGAACGATTATTATTCTTTATGTTAATATAAAATCATTATATATAACAGGAAGTGATTGTTCTGGCTTGAGTTTTTAGATGTTTTCATGCAGGTATTCCCTGTTAGAGTTTGGATTTCTCAAGGGTTTCTGCTCAAGTCTATATCCCCCATGACACCCCAAAAATCACTACACACTCCTTAGTTATAAATACCCACTGAATTAACAAATTAATGAAGAAATAAACAAAAAGTGTTAGTATTGCCTAGTCTAATGATTTTGTTTTTGTTTTTAAAGATTTATTTATTTATGCATACAGAGCTGTGGTGCATGCCAGGGGCGGTGAGAGGATTCACCACAGACAGAGTGGGGAGCAAAACAGGCCAACTGA